CATATACTTAATGTCACGCCCCTGATTGCATCCGTGCCACGTGGACAATTCAACCGTCGTACAACTCGATCAATAGGAACAACTGTAGTTCATCCCTATTGAATCATACAAAGTGTGCAATAGATTTAATCGCCAAACCAATTATTAAACGCATACAATCAACATCAATATCATAATCAAACAAAATGTGAAAATAAAAATGTGTTTGATCTTTAGCCACAAGTGGCAAAGATGAGCACGCATGCCTCCCAAATGTTTAATAGAAAACAATGTTCAAATATCCATGAGCAATTCCATAATTTCAAATAAGAATGGAAGCACAAACTAAGTCTTGCTTATTGATGAATCACAATAAGCAAATGTGCAAGTAGTATGACTCTAGCCTCAACATGTAAAATAGTGAGGCCCCTGACTGGAGTATTTAAGATCATTTACCCCCAAGGATACTCAACCCTAACCTGGATTATTTAGGATTATTTACCGTCCACGGATACTCAACCACAACCTGGAATATTTAGGATCATTTACCGTCCAAAGGTACTCTACCCCAACCTTTTCCTACCATAATTCTAATCCGGTAATGGCTAACATTTCATACATTTCTCTATGGACTATTCCTAGTCCTATAATCACATACAATTCGTTAGTAGTCATCATTAGGGGTGGACATGGGACGTAACGGGACAGGAATTAGATTATCCCGGTCCCGAACCCGGTTTCGGATAACGGGACAGGACAAGATGTTGTCCCGGTGTTGTCCCTTTTAAACCGGTACCGGAACAGAACGGGACGGTTCGGGACATCCCAAAAAATTGCAGCGAAAAAAATACAGCTCTCAAAAAGAAATTTCATGACAAAAACTACATCACTAAAAATGCAACACATACAAAAATTTATGATAAATGCAACACAAAAAATAGTAGATTAATAGGATAGTTGCACGAAACAAACCGTACCAACAACAATTAACTCCAACACACACAATACTACTAAGAAACTACAAAAATAAATAAAAAGACAAACAATATTATTAGAAGTGAAACATGTGAAGTATAGGTGAGTTTCTTTTTAGTATGTAGAAGATAGTTCATACTTGATATAATTTAGACTCCTTTAGATGTTTTACATATTAGATAACTAATACCTAATTAATATTAATATTCATTAGTGTTTGAATTGATGGTAGACTCACTAACCCACAACTATATACTCCGTACAATTTTGAATTCGGAACAACGGGACGGAACAGGACATATTTTATTTGTCCCGGTCCCGTTTTGTTTTGAAACGGTTCAGGACTGGAACGGGACAAAAATAGTTTGTCCCGAATTTAACGGGACAATTTTGGAACGGACCAACGGGACCGGGTCTTTTGCCCACACCTAGTCATCATGGACGGTTCCCACCTGAACGATCCACATTGAACTACTCAAAACTGCCCATTTGAGTATTTGGTAGATTTTGACTTGGAGGTCAATGCCCGTTTGACCGCTCAAACTAAGTCCAATTTCTATGAAATTTCATACACATATACATCTCAACTTCATCAATCCAAAAATACATTTTTGGATCCGTGGAACTTCATACATATTAAATGGTCACATTTTTTATAACAAAACTTTCATAGCATGCATTTCAATTATGTTCATACATTAATATGGCATGTCACATACTTATATGTATTTAATCATTTGATAAAACATATTATTGATTACTTTAGGTAATCTCATGCCTAACTCAAAAGTTATAAAGTATAAAGTCGTCTTCGGACAGCATAACTATGTCGGTCTTGCTACACCTGGAGCAGATGGATATTGGCAACGAGATGTCAAGATTTGGACCCTTGAAAATATCAACTTTTATTCTTGAATTAGTACTTTAGTATTTAATGACAAATTGAATGTGGCCAACAGGTTTAGAACATGGGGCATTGTTGTATAGGGTTATCAATTTTGGACTCATGATAATGGATATTTTGAGATCAATGCAGTAAGATCTGGAACCTATAACTTGTATGGGTGGGCCCCTGGAATCTTAGGTGATTACAGAAACAGTGATGACATTATAATCCGTCCCGGAGAAGAAACAAGTTTGGGTGAGCTTGAATTTGATCCTCCCAGAAATGGCCCAACAATATGGGAAATTGGCATTCCCGATAGAAAGGGTGCAGAATTCTTCATCCCGGATCCAGCACCTAACCTCAAGAACTATGTTCTGCTCAATAGTACTGAAAAGTATATGCCACTATCTTGCTTTTGAACACATATATAAATGGATAAAGGGTCAGATAAGGTCTCGAACTTGGAAACAAATGTCAAATAAGGTCATATTTAGGATGCTCTGTCCGGCCGACGCCATTTGGGGTGGTTCCCGATGGAATTTTTTGATGAATTTATTTGAGAATCTTATTCATTAAGTCTAATTACTCATATCAAATTTGAACTAAAACTTCAATCGGGAAGACATTCAAATGAATTCTTGAAGATAACTGCTCTTTTAACTGCGCAGTTATCTTCAAGATTCATTTGTATGCCTTTCCGATTGAAGTTTTAGTTCAAATTTGATATGAGTAAACTAGACTTAATGAATAAGATTCTCAAAAAATATCATCAAAAAATTCCAGCGGGAATTGTCCCAAATGGCGTCGGCCAGACAGAGCATCCTAAATATGGTCTTATTTGACATTTTTTTACAAGTTTGAGGCCCTATCTGATCCTTATCCCTATATAAATACATGTATGATCTTAATAAACTAACTACATTAAAACGTATAGGTTTCGGCAATATGGATTATGGGATCGTTATGCAGATATATACCCTTCCCAAGATTTGGTCTACACAGTTGGAGATAGTGGTTATCGAAAGGATTGGTTTTTTGCTCAAAGTCAACAGGTTCAACCGATCATTAACCGTCCGAGCAAGATACTCAACCACAATCTGGAATATTTAGGATCATCTACCATTCAAGGGTACTCTACCCCAACCTATTCCTACCATAATTCTAATCCGATAATGGCTAACATTTCATACATTTCTCTATGAACTATTCCTAGTCCTATACTCACATATAATTCCTTGTAGTCATCATGGACGGTTGCCACCTAAACGATCCACGTTGAACTAATCAAAACTGCCCATTTGAGTATTTGGCATATTTTGACTTGGAGGTCAACGTCCGTTTGACCGCCCAAATTAAGTCCAATTTATATGAAATTTCATACACATATACAACTCAACTTCAGCAATCCAAAAATACATTTTTTGATCCACAGAACATCATACATATTAAATTATCACATTTTTGATAACAAAACTTTCATAACATGCATTTCAACTATGTTCATACATTGATATGGCATGTCACATACTTATATGTATTTAATAATTTGATAAAACATATTATTGATTACTTTTGGTAATCTCATGTCTAACTCAAAAATTATAAAACAAAAAATCTTCTTCTCACTTTAAATGAAGCTTATGAAATTCTAGCATCCGTTTAAGGAAATTTTGCTCACTTGTAAACTTAATAAGTTTCTGCGTAACCAAATCATTGGTCAAACCAAATAAAATTTGAAATGATTTTCCCCATATATCTTTATTAATTAGAGCCGTACTGTACTCCGTATATCACTCTATCTCAGGCCGGAACGTGATTCGAATGTGCTTTACCATCATTGTGCTTGCGGACTGTTGTGATTCCATTTAAAAACAAAGCTGAAAATACTCTAATTAATGCAATTTGAATTACGGAGTATAATGTTGCAATTACATTGCAGTTTTTGGAATGGTTTCCTGAACATACAATAATTGTTGGCATGCACTAATATAAGAATCTGAATTACACTAGATTGATGAGAAATTGTAGTAGATCTAGCTATTAACAAGATGAGTTAAAATGTTTAATATAAAAATTGAAAATTTTTAGACCAAAACAATTGAAAAATAAGTTAAATTGATATGAGTTTCAATTCACTATAGCCTTAAGAGCATCCTCATTGGGAGGATTATTATGAGATTAATTTGGTGACATGGAAGTTTTTTTAGGGAGTTATCATTGAGTGACATAGATTATTTAATGAGATTATTTGCTACAATAATCTGGGATCAAAATATGAATCCGGATTATTTTAAGATTATTTGAAAAATATATGTAATAGAGATTAATGCAAGACAGAGAAAAAATAGATTATTTGAAGATGATGATTGTGAGACATAAACGAATTTTGAGATTATTTTATAATTAATTATATAACAATATTTAAATGGTAAGAATCGTAGAAAAAATTGATTATTAAAGATCATGAATGGAGATGCTCTAATATAGATCCTTTCGTGATAATTACCAGTGAGAAGCATTAATGATGGCGGACGCGGAACTCTGGGATGGAAACCGATCACCCAATGCAAGAATTCCTTTGAAAAATTAATATTAAGTCTTTTATTTGACAAAAATGTGACAAAAATTAATAACAACAATATTCAAGGAAAAACCCATGATCCTTCGTGATCACATTTTTGTCCTTTTATAAAAATGGTCATATTTTTTTAAATTAGCTTAAATTTGATAATATTGAAGAAAAAATCCTTTGATATATTCCTAAATATTGGATATGTAGTGTGATTATAAAGAAAAGTAAGTTTGTTGGATTTATATTGAATGGATAAAGTAAAAATAAAGTAAAAAAACAATTTAAAATCACATAAATACAGTAAAAATGATTCAAACAAATTAAATAAGATCAAACTACATTTCAATATTTTGTAAATACATATAAACTAAACTATCTACTAGACCAATTAGACCAGACAAGAAATATCGCTTGAATATTCTTAATAGAAAATCTACACTTGTACAGGGTACAAAGTTAAAAGAATTGCATAGGGTTTCTGCAAGTATCGGAGACATAACCTCACTTTCTATCTGTCATATTGGAATTATAATCCAATTTACATCCTCTCAACGTATCGTCCGGTCGGAGTTGGGGGGCTTCAGGGACCGGGGTGCCATCTTTTTTTTAAAGAAGAATTGCAATAAAATAAGAAAAATCCATTGCTTTGACTTTTGCTGATCAGAGCACCTACGTTCGCGTATTGTCTTCCCACCTCAGCGCATACGTCGTCCCCTCGACCTCCTTTTCTATATAAGGGAGCGACTGGGGTTCTCCGTTCATCCTCGATCGACATACATTTTACTATTCTTTTTTTCGTTTTGCTCTAAAGATTTCGGATCACTACAGAAATGGCAGCAATTTCAAAGGAATCAGAGCTCCAAGTGAAGGCCTTTGGATGGGCAGCGAGGGACACCTCTGGTGTTCTTTCCCCTTTCAGCTTTTCCAGAAGGTATATTTGCCAAAATATCTGAACATATGTGCGAATATTTCACAAGATCTAAAACTTCAAATCTATATTGACATTTTGAACTGCATAAGTGTTTATTCATATCCTGGGGAATTTGAATCTGAGTAGGGAAACAGGGGAGAAGGATGTGCAGTTCAAAGTCCTGTACTGTGGAATATGCCATTCAGACATTCACCAGCTGAAGAATGAATGGGGTTTCACAAAATATCCCATTGTTCCAGGGTAAGATGGTGTTTCAATCTCAGATCCCTGCCTCTCCTTAAGGCTATACTAATATTGCTTATTCAATCTCGGTCTCTCACATGATAAATTATGAACTAATAAGCTACTATTCAAAATCCCTAAATCTTCTTTTGTCGGCTCACAGTTTAGGGCAAAATTCAAGTTCTTAAATTAAACATGTCTATGCAGACACGAGATCGTAGGTGTAGTGACAGAGGTGGGGAGCAAAGTGGATAAATTCAAGGTTGGTGACAAAGTGGGCGTTGGGTGTCTAGTCGGATCCTGCCGAAAATGCGAAAGCTGCGCGGATGATGACGAGAATTACTGCCCGTTAGGTGTTCAAACGTACAATGATGTTCGCACCACCACATACGGTGGTTACTCCGACATCATGGTTGTCTATGAGCACTTTGCGCTCCGGTGGCCTGATAATTTGCCAATGGAGGCGGCTCCCCTGCTTTGTGCCGGAATCACAACGTATAGCCCCTTGAAATACTTCGGACTCGACAAGCCGGGAATGCACATTGGGGTTGTCGGCCTAGGTGGTCTCGGCCATATGGCTGTTAAGTATGCTAAGGCTTTTGGATGCAAGGTTACTGTCATCAGCACCTCTGATAGCAAAAAGAAAGAGGCTATTGATCGGTTTGGGGCCGACTCATTCTTGATCAGCCGCAACCCAGAAGATATGGAGGTTTGCAAAATATCAATAGCCTTATCTTACTATGAAGGATGACTTGTGCTTTACTTGTTCTTGAATTAAATATCTGACTTACAAGAAGAGTTGTAACATACGAAAAATTAGAAAAGGTGAAAATCATTTATGAACAATGTCTCCCCTACTTAGCGCTTAATATTACTCATATTTAATTAGGGACAAACTTTTTAAAATACTACGAGTACTTTACTACTTTTAATGGTTTTTAAGCAAAACTTGTTTCATAGGAAGTCTTGTAACATATGCTAGCTTGTATTTTATGCATAGGTTATTTTCTGTTGTATGTTTATTAATCACACATTACTATTATTGCTCACAGAACTTGTTCATCTATATGTTATCTACGAAGTACTTATTCTTTTCTTTTTATTTGCTTAGGCGGCAGCAAACACATTACATGGGATAATAGACACAGTTTCTGCAGCTCACCCTCTTGTGCCTCTACTAAGCTTATTGAAAAGCAATGGAAAACTCGTAATAGTCGGAGCACCAGAGAAACCATTTGAACTGCCAGTCTTTCCCTTGATCATGGGTATGCACATCCTTCTAAAAAAACAGCTAGCACTCATAACTTATACATACTCCCAGTCCCACAAAACTTGACCATATTCCATACAAAAAAAACTTATCCATAATGTCTTTTTTTGTCAATGGTGGTCAAGTTTGATGGTCAAGTTTGATCAAATGATATTTATTATTATGAATTTATTTAAAATATGAAGATTATATGAAATATACTTTGTTAAAACATTTCCTTAAAGTATAAAGTTTATAAATTACATTCAAATATAATAACTATAATCATCGTCCATAGTTCACTATCATTGATCAAAAAATTAATTGGATAACAATAGTATATTCTAATTAATAAAAGAGGTTATTGTATATGGGTGTTACATATATATGCCACTAATGATGGAAGGGTTACATGCAGGTAGGAAATTGGTTGTGGGAAGTTGCATTGGTGGAATAAGAGAGACGCAGGAAATGTTGGACTTTTCTGCCGAAAACAACATAACACCAGAGGTGGAGGTTGTCCCGATGGATTATGTCAACACTGCACTCGAACGCCTCGCAAAAGCTCAAGTGAAATATAGATTTGTTTTAGATATTGGCAACTCACTGAAATCTGCTTGAGTATCTTGAGAGTAAGATCAACACAAATCCTGGCGGGGCTGGCTTATTTTATTCACTGTATTGTTATGTGTTTCAAATTTATAATTTTATACCTGTTTTGTTGTCCTTTTTGTTTTTAAAATATACTGAAGTGCGAAAAAAATACGGGGTAATTCCATAGATGTTGTCACTCTCCCCCTATTTCAATTCCCATTGTACTCATCCCTTTGTCAAATTTCGTTTCAGTGCACATGTTATAAAATGATCATCATTGTTCCCATGTCGTCTCATCAATTTAGACGAAGTATCACACTTAGAAAATTGGTTTTGAAATTACCTACAAGCTGTGGATCAACCTTTATATAAAGGAATTCATGAAGGCTCACAAGTTATTTTCTCTGAGGTAATGAGTATAAAATAAGATTCTGATGTACCTCGAGATGAAGTAAATTGATGGATGAAATTATTTTGGCGATACTTGACCTTGAACAACACAATCCACGTAAATACTTTGAAACAAATAAGCTTCTAAGCTTGTAGCTGAATTGGGTCTTTTACTCTTCTAGCAGGAATAATGGATGCATTTGCTAAACATAAGTTGTTTTCAGAGAACGATAAATAATCAATGCATTGTCCATTTTCTAATGAGAATTGCTATAAGTTGCAAGAACGCCAACAACATAAGAGGAAAAGACATACACAGACAATTTGCATATTATTGTAGCAATATTCCTGCTAATCAATACACAGACAACATAAGTTGCATAGATATTTAACCATATTATCATGGTTGTGACTTTATGTGCATTTGTCTGGCTAAACTAGCCAATTGTAGTAATAAATACCGGTTAAATACCTAAACATCAAAGTCTATGGGAGGTGATCTTCCTTCCACACTTCCACAACAACACCTAACAACAGCAAGAAAAAAATGTAACAAGTAAGAATTAAGTTGAGGATTGAATGGTTGATAAGTGATCAAATGGAGGGGATAGGCCAAACATCTATTGTTTTATATAGTAAAACTCAGTTAGAAATAGCTGATGTGTCAATTTCTTATTGGTTGACAAACATAATTAATATCACTATTTAAAATCCTACAAAATAGCTACGAAAAAAATTCTCACGGATGTAGCAATTAATAGTCACGGAGAAGACTCTTAATATCTTAGGACTTTGACTTTTCAAAGCTTATCAAGAAGTTAGCAAATGATATTTTAATGCACTAAAATACATTCGAATATATAGGACTATTTATAATGATAATAATAACAATGACGACGATGATGATGATGATGATGATGATGATGACGATGACAATAACAATAACAACAACAACAATAGTAGTAGTGGTAATAATAGTAATAATAATAGTAATAATAATAGTATTAGTAATAATAATAGTAATCTACGGAGTATTATTTTATATAGTAAAACTGAGTTATAAATAAATGACGATTCAATCTATTAATTGATTACTAAAAATTCTATTATCACTCCTATTAAAACATTAAATTAATTCTCCCTAAGTTAACAATCTCGGTAGCCATTCAAAATTTTATAATCATCTATTTATTGTATCAAAATCATAGTGGAATGATTAAAAATATCAATTTGATAAAACTCGGTGACTAAATGTGGAAAACTTTGAAGTTGGGGACTAAAAGGGTATCTAGCACAATTATTGTTCTTCAATTATGCACAACTACAAGAATAACAATAATTCACTCTCATCATTCCATCAAAAGCCAAAGAAAGCGCAATGTGGCCGCAGTGGGTGTAGGTCGGGATCACAACACGTGTTGCGGCTGCAATATTGCAGTCGCATTCTGTAGTGCAACCGCATCGGATCGCAATGGAGGTGAATTTTTAATTCATGGGGAAATCTACTGCGTAACCCAACAAAATCGCAACGTGGTCGCACCGGGGCCATATCAGATCGTATAAGAACATCAACATTTTATTTTTTTTTTGTTTTGTTGAACGTAAAATTAAATTACACAGCATCGGTCGCAATACGCATTGCAACGACCGCAATAGCTGCAACTGCAGTCACTGCAATTGCAACATTGTCGCAATAAAAAACATTGATATAAGCTAAATGGTAAATATATAATATATGGTGATGGATAATTTAATATATAGTCATTTAACACAAAATAAATTATTATTGTTTGTGGTTAGATCATAATAAAATTGCATTATAATAATCTTTGGATCTTATGAATAATTCACCAAATCTATTAGTATTTTTCATTTTAACTCATACTAGTATCAAATTGACGCGCTACCGGGGCATTGCCCCGGGCTTTACACTAGTTGATCTCTAATCTCTTGTAGCCTATTCATGACCCTATTTTGGTATAGGTTGAAATTTCAGAGCAACATTCTCAAAATCTTTATTTCTCTTCAATAATATTCATGCCCGTCGGTCGTCGTTATGTTATTTGTAGAATCAGGACATCCATCATCGTAGTGGGTCATGTCCGGCGCAGTTCTGTAGCAATGGCTTCAGGCCATTTTGAGAGAGAAAAGTCTAATGCTAGTGTGGTCAAACCCAATACTTTTCGTGACATGTTACTCATCCTTTCTTGAGTGTTGAAATCGATCTATGTTTTAACTATACCAAAGACTTTAACTAAATTGTTTTTATTTTCTTGTACCCATTGTTATATGAAAAATTCTATTTATACATATTTCGCAAAGATTTGTACGTAATTGTATGTACAAACAGACAATATGTACATCCGTAGATATTTGCGTACGCTCGTGTAACATTGTGTATAGATAGATAATTATGTACAAATGTTACAAATTTTGTATACACAATAATTGTTGTTATGATTCTCGTGTGAAACGTAGCTGATTGTTACGCTTATCGTGCATCAGACGAAATATATTTTGTCAAATTAAACAACTGAAGAGGGGTCACCGATGACTCACTTTTTTGGGGGAAAAATAAAAGAATTCAATTTATTTAATTGAAAATACTAGTACTAATATAGTGTACATAGTAGATGATATTTAAGGAGTATCATTTGATTACGTGGACAGAGTTGGATCAGACATAATTTAACGAATCTATCATACGTGCATCTCCTCAATAATGAATTCTATCTACATAACCGATCATTTATAAAACTATATAAGAGTACGTCAATTTTTTCGATCAAATTTTTTCATCAATAATTTTTGATTTCACACACTAAATTACGTAATAATCAAAATAGGTGAGGTTGTAGTTGCTTTTTCTGATTGAATTGACTTAAATTACTGTAAAATGTATTTTAGCTATATTTTCATACCCCATCTGTCCCTTATAACTTTGTCAACTTTCCCTTTTAATCATTCAATTTATGGCCCCTGTTATTTCTCTCTCTTCTGCACAAATCTCTACCACACAATCTTTACTTTATTATTCTACGTGCCAGACAAACTTGACAAAACTTTGAGGGGCGGAGGGAGTATAATTTTGTCATTATTTAATCAATGACGACATACATTTTAAATATAATTCTTTAATTCAAAGAATTCGGTCATTTTAGTCAGAACTTCATCAATTTTAGCAGGATCAACCGATTCGGCCAATTTCGATATTACCATACATGCTCTGAATATGAACAATATTTCACATATTTATGCTATTAAAAACAGGACACACATTTAGCTTTGATTGCTTAGTGTATTCAAATTGTATAATTTTCAATATTTCTTCACAATAATCATTACTTTTATAATTAAGGTAGTGTTTTTTCCGCCCAATGAAAGCAATAATGGTGTTGCATATGATGCTATGATATGACATCGATTTTGAAACTTTTCTCAATATGATTGATATTAACTTTGGAGACATTGTATGTGTTTGGGTAATGGCGTTTCACTCCAAAAAGTTGTTGTTTTTTATAATTGGAAACGCTACACAATGTAGCATTTTTGCACCCCAACTGCCGTCAAACAATCACGGCCATTGTCATGTCATCACTTCAACAAAAACGAGCCCGTCGTGTGGTTCTTCACATTGTAAAGTTGATGAATTGAAAAGTTTCTCAGCTTTAATGCTCAAAATAGGAAATGAAAATATTGAGAATGTGAGAGATGAAGATGTCTTCATTGATATAATTGATGATATATTTATTAACACTTCAGATGTCCCTATTACTTCAACTGTTGCCAGCACGTATCCATCATCTCTGGAGAATATGACTGATCTATCATATTTTCAGCAAGTGTCTATTTTGACACGAACAAATGATGTTGTTGAACATATCAATAAATATATGATTTCACTTATGTATGGAGAAATAAAGACATATTTGAATTTTGATAGCACATGCTCACTTCAAGGCAATATTGACGCTGGATTCGATGAAGTGCATATTAAAAAATTCTTGAACACCATTATGGCATCAAGGATATGAGGTAGTGAACCATAATTTTGTAATATAGGTTGAGTTTGTTATTATGCTAATGAGAAACATTGAAAAATCTTCTAATTTATGTTTTGGAGACGAAGGTTATATGGGCAAAAATTATGACTAAATGATTCTAATTCCAAGGTTATCATTCATCTCATTTGATATCATAATTCCTTTCAAACTTCAATGCAATCAATTTTAAATCATCACTTTTGTCACGATTATAATGATAAGTCAATTACAATATCTGCATGAAGCAACATGTATCTACCCAAAAATATTTTTGTAAAGCTTTGATATGGCCGTCAAATGAGACACTTAAATTGTAGAATCGTGGTGCTCAATTATCTAAGTAGTACGTTTTGTTTTACTCTAGGGGGCGTCAGAGGGAGGGGGCTGGGGGAGCCTGGAGTAAACTAGGCTAAAACTCACCCCATTGAGTTTTGAACCCGAGACCTCCTGCAAGGGAGAGTGAGTCGATGACTAGCTGGGCTGGACCGCTTCCTCATCTAAGTAGTACATATTCTTACATCTTACATTTTATTTTAAATTTCCATGCAAATTTTCATACGATCAATATGTATTTCCTTTTTTCTTACAAACTACCATCATATAAACAAATTTAAAGCATATGAACTCTACTATGGGTTTATTTGGCACAAGTAGCTGAAAATATACTTTTGTGAGCTTTTTAATAAGTGTTAGCTTTTAGTGACTGAAAAGATCTTAAAGAGAAAATGTGGTAGTTGTTTGGTAAAAAGCTGACTGTTTGATTTAGTTTGTTTTGGTATACAAGCTGTTAAGACTAATTAATACTATAAGCCACAGGCTTTTTTCATATGCTACTCCTAGCATCTCAAAAAAAGATCTTTTAATTTTTGAAAAACTCTTAAAAATTGTCATGCCAAA